CACCCGCGCCAGCACCGGACACGTCCCCGAGCATCCTGCCGTCACGCACTGTCACCAGCACCTGAACCGAACAGCGCCCAAAACCGCACCTGCGCCAGTACCCCAAAGCGCATGCCCCCTAGCTCCCAGCCGTCGGTCTTGCGAAACAATTTCCCTTCTTCATTAGAAGTCTATGGTTTCCAGTTATCTGGGAAATAAGTCCACGCGGTCAGCAGCACCTCCAACAGCAACACAAAACAGCACCTGCACCACCACCCCAAACTGCACGCCCCCTAGCACCCGCCCGCAATCTCCGAAAATTGCGCCCACAACGTCAGCAGCGCCTCAAACAGCACCCCAAACAGCACCCCAAACAGTACCCCAAAACAGCTGCATCAGCTCCCCAAACTAATGCGCCTGCACCAGCACCTCAAAGAGCACCCCAAACTGAGTGACCCCCCGCTGTCCATCAGAGCCTTAAACAGCACAGGCACCAGCGCCTTACTCAGCACCGCAAACTGCATGCCCCCTAGCACCCGGCCGTCAGTTTCGCAAAGCGGCACCAGCGCCCGAAACTGCATGCCCCCAAGCACCCGTCCGTCAATCTTGCAAAACAGCACCTCCACCAGCGCCCGAAACTGCATGCCCCCTAGCAACCCGCCGTCAATCTCGCAAAACAGCACCTCCACCAGCACTCCAAGCTACATGCCCCCTAGCACCGGCCGTCAGTTTCGCAAAGCGGCGCCTCCACCAGCGCCCGAAACTGCATGCCCCCTAGCTCCCGTCCGTCAATCTCGCAAAACAGCACCTCCACCAACACTCTAAACTACATGCCCCCTATCTCGCAAAGCGGCGCCTCCACCAGCGTCCGAAACTGCATGCCCCCTAGCAACCCGCCGTCAATCTCGCAAAACAGCACCTCCACCAGCGCTCCAAACTACATGCCCCTTAGCGCCCGGCCGTCAATCTCGCAAAGCGGCGCCTCCACCAGCACCCGAAACTGCAGCACCCGGCCGTCAATCTCGCAAAACAGCACCTCCACCAGCGCCCCAAATCACATGACCCCTAGCGCTTGGCCGTCAATCTTGCACAACAGCACCTCCACCAAAACCAAATTCAAACTGCACGCCCCCTAGCGCCCGGCAGCACTGCAAACTGCATAGCCCCTAGCCCCCGGCCGTTAAGCTCGCAAAACAGCACCCCAAACTGCATGCCCCCCAGCGCCCGGCCCTCAATCCGCAAATCACTTTCCCTTCTCTACTAGAAGTTAGAACCCCTATAGCTTTCAGCTATCTGGGGAACTACAGAAAAAAGGGTACCCTTATTCTAACAGAAGGGGTCGTCATGGGGGCTGAGTTTTTTCAGATTTCTGGGGGCTGAGTTTTTCAGATTCCTGGGGGCTGAGTTTTTTTCAAAAAAAACAAAAACACAGCCCATCATCTGCATCTGCTAGTTCAGGGCCATGGGCCTGTTTTTTTTTGTTTTTTTGGTTGTGTTTTTGCGCCTTTGCTCATAAACACCAAGAAAACCAAAGACAAAAAACAACCAAAAAACACAGCCCATCATCTGAAGACAATACTTTGTTGATGCTTTCTTGATGCAAGCTTTCTTGATGCAAGACATCAACCATATGATGAGATGTGTATCAACAGAACATAAGCCTCTTCCAAGATATTCTGCAGGTAACTCCAGGTAACTGGAGATAATTTATCTCATCTCTCATTTCATCTTCTGCAGGTAACATCTCATCACAAGCAATTGCTTGTGGCTTGTGTCTACTTGAATCTATTCTGAGCAGCTTTACTGTTGCAAGAGCTCTTCAGCAACACGAATAGCTGCAGAGAATCTTATTCCAAAGCTCTTATTCCAAAGCTGAACAGGTTATTTGCATCTGCAGATATCGTTGCAGGTGCTCATCTTTGCATCTTGTGCTTCTTGAGCTCAAGCAACTAGATTGGAGCTGTGCTCCAATTGCTCCAGCTCATTATGCGATAAATATGTTTGTGTTAGCTGTCTTTTCTCAAGAGCATGGGCAGAGCCCATGCGTATATTGAAAAATATTGAACATCCAACTGTAAAAAGAGCTGAGTCTTGCAGCTGACAGCTGCATAGATCAGCGATATCTTACCTTTCTTATGATTTCGTATGCGTGGCAAGCTGTGCTTGCCATACTTACGTGTTTCAGAATTGCAACACAACAATAATATTTGTCCCAAACATACATCTGCTTGCAGATTGCTAAGCATACGTCTTCCAAAATATTGCATACGTATGCAACTTGTGTTGAAGATTTGTGCCAAACATACGTCTTCCAAAAGTTAGCACCCTGAGGTTTATAAACTTGGCATGCGTAAGCATGCCAATTATCAAAAAATAAGCTACAGACACACGTTTGCTAAATATTTGTGTCCAACAATGATATTTGTGCAAAATAGTTCTCAACAGGCTGTCTTCTGTGCAGATTGAAGCTAGCTCATTTTCCAGGTCTGGATGCATCTGAGTCTTCATTGGATCGAACATGAATCTGTGCTTGCATGTCATCAGCCAAAAAAAACAAAAACGCACCCCAATAAATCTAAGAGGTCACGGGTGTTGATCTTATATTTTTGTTTTTGTTAGTGTTTTTAATGGAAAAGCTCAGCTCCCAAGAATCTGAAAAACTCAGCCCCCAGGAATTTGAAAACTCAGCCCCCAGGAATCTGAAAAACTCAGCCCCCATGCCGACCCGCCCTCTATTCTAACCTCTCTACTGGAGGACCTAGATATGATTGGTAGTTGGTTGTTATTGTTTGAGGACGAGAAGGGAGCCAACCTAGTTTCAACCACAAAAAGCAGGGGTTGAGACCAACCAACATTTCCACGTCCACTTGGGGAAACTTGCGTAATTTTGTCGGCTCACGTCACGACTGGCTGTGCGACTCTTTTTTGTATCCTTATACAGGGACTGTGGGAAAGCACCCTCTGTTTTGGGTGCTCCATTTCAGAAGGGATCCTTCACTTTGGGAACCCCCAATCTGCAGGGAGGGTAAATCCGAAATGGGTATGGGTCAAAATGAAACCACCAGGGGACCTCATGTTTGGTCCTTGGTTCTATTTACCAGGGTTCCATTTTGGGAACCCAATTCTGACTCACAGCCAAATCAAGAAAACAGGTAAGCGCGTACTGACACACACACACATACCAACACGGAATCTCAAGATTCAGCTTCCAGATTTTGCCGTTTGGGGGGGGGGCTGGGGGTGCTTTTGAGGGAGGCAGTGGCATGTTTGCGCCAGGTCATTTGGACCCTTTCCTCCTGCAGGCCGAGTGAAAAGGGTTCACCCGAGCCGCAATCAAAACCTGGGTGGATGAAGGTCAGGGACAGCCCCATCGACAAGTTGAAGCCCAATTCTTGTCATGGTTTTGGTTAACAGCAGGCTCCATCTGGACCTAGCGGTGCGGCGCAAAGCTCAGGAGGATGGAAAGGCACGATGAGTCGGAGCCAGTGAAGGCATCTCCATGCGGATGCGATATCTTTCACTTGAATGCCCGCGGAAGGGGTCTTAGAAGGGTGAAAGTAAGTGGTATATGTTCCTCCGTGTGACGGTCAGTTTCTTCTGCCCTCTTTCACCCAAGTCTTCTTGGATGTGTCCCCGAACGCCCGCTCTTGCAAGAGGGAAGTGCTGTCGAGATTGCTCGAAGCAATGAGGGAAGCCACGAAGTCCGTGGCCAAAGAACCCTCCGATTGCCAGCTTCGAGCAGGGCAAAAAGGAGTGAAACTGCCAGGCTTGGGACAAACCTTGGTGGACATATGGGTGTTTCTTTTTTGAGGGTATCCTTCTTTGGCGTTTTTAAAGGAACAGACATCCAAATATGTTTACAGTTTCTCTCTGGCCCAAAGCGAATCGACCTGAAATGACCTTTTGGTTTCCCCTGTTTGGTCCATGTTCAGTCATGTCCCCCGAAACTGAACCTTTGATTGCTGTGTCCTTTGGGCAGCTGGGGCTTAAAGAATACATGTTGAAGCAACTTTTTGGCTTCCCTTTCAAAGACAGCGGCTGGTTCCAACAAATTCCAGCAGCAACCAGCGTGCTTGAGAGCGGTTCCTCTCAGCACAGATGCATCCCCTTTTGAATACCCTTGGTGCCAGGTAGCCGCTGGCAGAACTCGCTTCACCGCCCTCTATCCGGAAACCGCTCCACGGAAAACCTGAGAACCTTCCGGGAACCCTCCACCGTCGCAGTCCTCGGGACCCTCCGCAAGCCTCGCCGCTCCGGGGCTGATTTGGGCCATAGCCAAGGGAAGAAGACTTGGAGCCGGTGGTTCTCGCTTGCAGTCGACTGGAACCGGAGGTCCAGAGGTCCGCAGGTCCACAGCTCCGCATTCCGAGGCCAGGGCATCACCGCGCGGGTGATGAGCCGCAAGGGTCTTCGAAGCCTCGCGCAGGCAGTCCCGAGAAACGGGCGGGGCTTCGCCGCCCGGAGAAAAAAAAAAAAACCGGGCCTTCAAGAAGGAAGCGGAAGCAGAAGGTTTGAACCACCCGGGGTTGAACCACAGAACCCTGCTTCAGGTTTTCGCAGAGGGACCATGCCCTTGGACATGCCCTACTTTTGGCGCCATATTCTGCGGCTGGCCTGGATTTGCCCGGCTTTCCTCTTTCGGAATGTGCTCCAAGTTGCCAACCTGATCTCTCTGGAAGGGTGCAGCTTTTTCCCACGCGTGAAGCTTGTCACAATTTTGGCATGTGAAGCCCACGGAGCTTCTTGGTTTAAGTTGCCAGCTAAAATTCGACCCCACTTTCTTCAGACCCGCGGGCTGGGCCAGAGAGCTTGGCATGCAAGTGGCAACTCTTTGAAACGGGCAAACAAACGGAGTAATGTTCAATTGGTTCGTCCAAGAAACACTCCGACACGACCAAATCTTGAACACAACGCTTCTCCATTTAAGCCCTTGAAAACAACGAGAAACGGCAACACACACACACACACATGAACACACGTTACTTTTTGGACCCTTATTGGCCCCGACAAGAGAAAACACAGCCCCAGCGACTTCCTGCCGTGGATTCTTTGCGCCATGGCTGACGTCTTGGAGATCTTGGAGGATGTCATTGCGTTAGATGAGGTCCAATCAGCTGCGCAGGCTGGGATGTAGAGGGCAGCGGGGGCGTCCATGACAACCATCCCTGTCAACCTCCACCAACCTTCACTAATTGACAATCACTACTGTGGATGGAAGAACTGACAGTTGACAAGCAATTGGTCAATATTTGCTGTCTAAATGGGAATGGCATGGCGCACACAAGGGGACGCAAGGAAGAAGGACCGCCGCAAGCCCACGTCACACGTCTGCCATGGTTCAAAGATAGGTTCGTTTAATCAGGCTACGCAGGGAGACGTCCCCTTTTGATGCTTTCAAGCATCACGTGTTGGCCTGTTTCAAGCGAGTTTGTTTTCTTTGGATCGGATGATATTGAAAGGACGTATAGCATATAGGACCCCCCGTTGCTTGGGGTTGGCAGAGATGAACATCAAATGTCATCATACTCTTAGGGGCTTTAGACAATTCCTACCAGGGAACGATGACCATGCTACATGCGAGTTGCTGATGAGATTGTTGGTAAACCGTGTAAATACCCGACAAAGCAGCCGAATGTCCATTTTATGTCCCTTTGGGGTGGGAAAGTAATACTGTCCTGGGTTCATGTGAGGCCTGTTAGACCCCGAAAGGGTACAAGTTGATTGGACATGGTCCTATCCAAAACCTTAACGCTTCCTTATATAGATATGTCTTTTGTACTCATCAAACCTTCTATTTGGGTGTGTTTTTGCTTGGACTCCAAATGGCGCAACGGTTTTCCTTTTGGTTCCCCTGAACAAAATCTTACAAAGATAGGGGCTCCAACAAAATAGCAGTGGCTTCCCTTATCCTAAAGTGGGGTAGCACTTTCCCTTTTACCCGAAGCATGGATGGTCATCAACCCCTTAGTGAAACTAGGCAAGCGTGATGAAGGATTCCTGCACAGGGAGCCGCAACATTTGGAGTTTTGGCCACGGTGGACGGCTTCAGTGAGCAGGGCATGCTGTAAGGTTTTACTACACGCTGGGATTACGGACTACAGATTACACCCTTGGGCATTGGCTCAGCATGTTCCAACATAGCAAGGTTTTATGAGTTTTGTGGCCTATGTGGCGGGACGGATGGACAGGAAATGGACCGTGAGATAAAGGAACGGTAAGATGGCTAGACTCGGCTAGACTTATATTATTTATATTTTATTATTTTGCTACATTATTTCGTGCATTAGTTCACAATTGTAATCATAAAGGCTTGGGAATCTATTTTTTATCATCTGGATTCATCTTTGGAATCTCCGGCACATTAGTATCAGTCCTTATAATAACATAATTATATTCATCATGAAATAGGATAATGTCTCCAGAAAACCAGAACTTCTGATCTTTTTACTACTGCCTGGCTTGTTTGGAGGATTTGGACATTATTTCTTTACCTATCTTTCAAGGATCTCCAGAAGTGGTATATCCTAGAGTCAATAATTTTCTATTGTAATTCTTTTACTTTCATAACTTTTCCTACTCCTTTCTTTAATCTCCGAATTTGGAGGTAGTACGGGATGGACTTTATATCCACCATTATCCACTTCTTTTATGACTTTGTCACCTTCAAGTAAACGGGACATCTTATGTTAGGATTAGCAATCTCTGGTATGTCTTCATGTCTTACATCTCTTAACTTTTATCTTGTAACATTGTATTAACGGCTATCCCATTATTTCCATTCTCTTTCTTGATCACAGCTTTCATTTCTTGATTAGCAATACCTATCATTTCTGGTACACTTCTTTTAATGTTGGGTGATCTTCTTGCTAATGCACCACTATTGGAGGAGATCCTATATCCTATCAACGGTTATTTTGGTTTTGGGGCATCGATTAGTTTACATCTTAATGATTCCTGCATTTGGGATCATTTCCAATCGTTGCCAAGCCATCAATGGCAGCCCCCCCCCAGGGGCTAATTCTTGAGTGGGTGCAATCCCAGGTTGGGCGTTTGATTCCCCCCAACCTGAAAGCTGAGTAGTTCAGTTGAAACCTTTTTGGGTTGGAACGGGGGCGCCCCATAGCCTCCCACACCAAAATCTAACCTCCCCAACCTCCCCAACCTCCCCAACCTCCCCAACCTCCCCAACCTCCCCAACCTCCCCAACCTCCTTCCACCCCCCCCAAACTCTCCAACCCCCCCACCTCCCCCAAGCCCCCAAGCCCGCATGCCGAGGCATTTATGCGATCCAAGCTGCCGCCCCGCGCCAGGGTGAGTGGGGGATGAGCAATATGAAGCTGGTGCATGGAGGGGAGCCGCTAATTTTGGAGCTGGGGGTATCCCCAAATGTTTGCTTCTTCAGTAGGGAGCCTTGAGCCACCAGGAGTTCAGGTTGGGAACGTGGTAAATGGGTGTCTCACAGAGCCCTTTCGGGCTTGAACATGGAAACCAGAAGCGGAGCCCAATATTTTCTTGGGACATGCACCGTGCCCCCAATTTAAGACACACCGTATTTCCTGGTAGGAAAACCTTGTTTAAGCGAGCTTCCCTTTGGGATGATGCCAAAGCGGGTTCCTCTTCAGTGCTTTGCTGTGGGCTTCAGCTGCTTTTCTCGCAGTTGGGAAAGCCACAACACCCTTTGAATCAAGAAGGGTCAAACGCTTCCACACGAGCAGACAGAATGATTCGTCAGCTTGAGGACACAGGGGTCCACGCCCATCGCCCTATCACCGACCGAAATTTGTCCGTAGACCCTGCAAGGCCCATTTTCCTGGTTTCATAGGTGATCTTTAGGCCCATGCAAACCTTTACCAGGCATCTTGATTGAGCCACGCTGATACAGAGGATTGACCTCTTATTGCATACCGCATACCTGGATCTTCCAAAGTGTGTATTTTTCATGCCTTTTCGTTTTCAGAGAAACAACATTTCTTGGCGTCTCCAGGCACTTTTCACTTTTCTTCTCTTCTGGCAATTCCATGAAGTAAGAAACGGCAGCATTCCCTGGCCAACTGGTGATAATCCCCGACCAAACGGCGACTTGTCCCGGCCACGTTTCCAGCCAAATTTGGAACTACACTTTTGCAGGGAAACAGTGTTCGACCAAAGGACTGACATTTGCAAACGGCGGGACAAATGCAAACCTGGAAGATTCAGGTATTACGGTATACTAAAACAGTTGTTGAATGCAGTTCCCCGGAATCAACATCGAGAATGTCGATGTTGGACCTTGGTTTTGGGCATTATGATAGGGTTTTATGTGTTTTGCCACCCAGCCATACACACCCCTAAGACCCATGTTGGTAGGATCAGCAGTCGCGTTTTCGGGCACAGCTCATGTGTATTTTCCGAGGCTCTTTGAAGGCATCGACATGCACAATGCCCTCGAACTGCAGGCGTCTGCGGTTTTTCCCCCGCCATGACCAGGGGCGTTGCCTCCAACTGGGTGGGCTGGATTGGTTTGGATTTGGTTTTGAGCCATTTGCTGGTTTTTGGGTGAGGGTAGAGGGGACACCGCCCAATCCCCCAACCCAAACGGGCGGCCCAAACTTCTTTAATCAGTAACCCAAACCGTTGAGAGCAAATGGGAAACCAGCCCCTAACCTCCCAAACCACTCCAAATCGCCAATGAGGGAAGCTGAAACTGTTTTTTCTCTCAGGAGCAGCGCTTGGAGTGGCATGCAGCGTACCGGGAGTACGTGGCCCTGATGGAGGACACCCAGCGTTCATCCGGGTGATGTCTTCTTGTTCGAGCATATGTCGGTGTTTCTCAAAGGAAAGGGGTTTCTTTGAATTTTCCCTTCAAATACCAACCCAAAGTTTACCAGTTTGAGAATCTCCCTTTTACTTTTTGTTTGGGGGCCCCTGCCAATCCGCGAATCTTATCAATCCACCAGGCTGAATCCGGTGGACGGCGTTGCCATCGTGTGTATCGCGTCAGCATAGGTGTCCTTATGTCAGCTTGGATCATCGATGGATTCCGCTTTCACTTTGTTTCGATTTTTGTGAACCAGTGCATTGTGTCAATCTGTACGGGTGTGTCTTTTTCTAATTCCCAACAATGACGGTTTCCCTCTTGGTTTCCCTCTTGGTTTCCACAAGCATGTGGTACCCTCCAAAACAGCAAACAGCAAACAGCAAGAGAAACACCAAGAGTACCAGGTTGTTGACCAGCCTGTTTCCTCCAAAAAGCGACATCTTTTTTGTTTTTTCTCCCAATTGGACACCTCGGGCTTCCTCTGCAGGAGCGGGTGCTGTCCGCCTGCGCGGTGGAAGTGCCGGAGGTCTCGCGGGAGGCGAGGGGAGAGTTTGGGGGGCAGAGGGCTACTTGGAGGTTTTGGTACTTAGTAAGTTGTTGGCGACCATGGAGTTATACCCCACTTACCAGGGTTATGTTTTTTTTCTTCCTTTTTGTTTAAGATGGGGGGCCTGAAAAGTGGGTTGGTGTGACATGATTCGGGACCCACCGATTTTTGATGCCCCAGGGGGGGGTCCTCAACTCCCAAACCCGACAAACGGATCCTTGGGGATCACTTGCCCAAGGACTTTTTATTTGGTTTTGGTGGGTTGGCCGAACTTGGCCAGAGTTGAAGCTGACAGACCCTGCCCTCTTTCCAATCATTCAAGTGGGTGTGAGGGAACCCCCTTTTGGCTGGAAAGGGGAACCAAGAGGAACACCACTTTTATTTTGGGACGGGGGGGGTCCTTGAAATAATGACACCCAAGTCCGGACGCTTTGGGGGGCTTTCCCAACAGGAAGGTCGTCTTTCGAAGCCCTCCGCTCGTCCGCTTCCATGGGTAGTCGACCTTCCCAGCCCGGGGAGGCCATCCTGGCCCAGCTCGCGGCAGTCTCGGATGAGGACGGGATGACTTGGATTTTCGAAGATCGGGCGGGTTTTCCTTTGCGTTCTCCTCAAGCCAACCCCCCCCCAAAGAAAGGTTCCCGGCAAATGAACAAACAGAGCGAAACCCATAAGGCATATGAATCAAATAGACACCTTGACTTGAGGCATTTTCGGTGCGGAGAAAAACAACAACTCTGCAGGCAGATGAGGATCGCAAGCACGCGCGCTTCCTGTTCTTGGGCAGCACTGGGTGTCTCGCTGTTGCTCATGGGCTCCAGAACATGAGGCGAGTTGCACCTTTGAATTCTAAGGCTCAGCATGTTCGAATACAGCAGCAACTTGGCAGATCTCAGATGCATCGCTTATCCCAACATGGCGTTCTGGGGTGTCTTGGTTAATTACCGTTTTTCATGAACGGGGGATTTTCTGGGTTCCATGTCCGTGGGGCAATCGAAGCATGCCCAGGTTTCTTGAGCATGATGAAGGACCGGTGGCGTTGGCGCCCAACACCTGGCTTTGCGTCAACAAGTCCTGAAATGGATGTCGGTATCCTTGGGTGTTGGTTTATCGGTTTGTCTTGTAAAAGGGGTCGGCCCTCCAAAGAAATGGGCGGAAAAAAGAACTCGATCGCTCCCAGCTATATGATTCCTTAAACTTCCGGGCTAGAGTTTAGAGTTGGATTCATGACATATCCCACTCAAAGTTTCGCTGGCAAGGGATCAACAAACCAAGATAAGATTTCCACGAGCTTTCCGATACAATCCCAAAAAGGGGTTTTCTCTTCAGACACGGCGAAGCAACGCGTCCAACTGTTTGGAGTCCGTATACCATCCCCCCAAAAAGACAACCCACGAGAGGGCCTTCCAAGCATCGCCCATCCGATTTGTCAGGAGCTGTGCCGCTCTGCTCCCGCGGAAAAGCGCCCAGAGGCCGATCAATCCAACCCCGAAGTGAAGGCCAAGAGGCGGCCCCAGCCATGAATAGATGTAGATTTGGGGGCATGTCGATTTTTCAGGGTACCCCGTTTAGAGTGCAAGGTTTTGACCGCAACTCATCTTTCGCACAGGAGGTATGTGGGTTGTCTTAGCAGAATGAGCCCTGTTTTTTGGATAGGGTGGAATCGCAACCAAAAGGGAGGCCAACATTTGAGGGGCCACTTGGCCTGATTTTGACACCTGCTTATCTGCTTATGCAGGTGTTTAGGTGTGTCGTTTTTTTAAGGGGTGCCCCCTTTGGGTTTGGCTTGTGTACTCATCCTCCGCCTCCTCAGATCATCCTTCCGCCCTCCTCCCCCCTCCTCCCCCCCCCTCCTTCCTCCCCGCCCCTCCTCATCATGCTCTTTCTTTCGCAGCCCAAGCTTTTGCTTTCACGAGTTCGCTGGCGCCCAGGTGGACAAAGTCTCCAGGCCCTGTGGCTACAACTGAGGGCGGCGTTTGAACAAGTCCTGGCCAACTCAGATCCAGTTTTCGGGCGTGCAACTCTGTGAAGAGTTGGTATTCCGTTTTTGAGGTGGGTGGATGAAAGGGACACCAACCCTCCATTTCTTTTGAGAGGGGGGGTGTCCCACATTGTCAGACACACCCAGCCGCTTTTGTGAGCTCGGTGAGGATTCCTGCCCTGAGGCTGTCAAAGACAGCCTGAGGCTGTACGCTAACGTCGCGAATGTGAAACTCATGCGGCGAAAAAATCGATTTCGGGCCCGCCTTCGCCCGCCTTCGCCCGCCTTCGCCGGATGCGGAGTCGACCAATGAGTCATTCCAAAGCCGGCCAGGTGTCCTCCATCCCAGTCATCAATGCTTTAGATGACTATGGGCAGCTGGGCCGCAGTAGTCCAAGACGCGGGCTGCTGGGTTCAAATTTTGCACAGTACCAGCTGCATTTGCCGTTTTTTTTCTTCTTCTGTTTTTTCTTTTTTCTTTTTTTGGCTTTTCGCAGGCACCCAATGCAGATGATGGCAGACCTGCTTACGATTTTCGAACACAAGGCGCGGATCGGAAGTTTCTCCCATGTCGCGGATTCGCTGCCTCGCAGGGAGCCCTGAAAGACTTCACCATGGCTTATATGGGCGACTTGGAAAACAATGCTGGAACCTCAGCTGCCAAGCGGTGCATAGGGCGGCAGAAAAGGCCCGCGGCTCGCAGTCGAAGGGGACAGGCAATTTGGAAAGGATAGGCGCGGACAGGGTTCCACCTTGACCCCAAAGTAAGCCTCAACCAAGGGGCGGCTTCTGGGTTTCGGCTCCTTACTGGAACCTGTGGTGCTGAGAGATGGCTCCACTCCAGGTAACCTATGATTTGATGAGCCGGGCGCTCAGAGGGACAGTTCCAAGGAGGCCTCAAATCGGAGAAACCAAATCCGTTCCGATTAAAAAGGGGGTCCTGCGGCGATATTGCCAGCTTTTTTTTAAAACACTTCGGTGGGGCAATGTTTCCCGTGGGTTTTGCTTGGGTGGCTATCGGTCTTGGGTAAGTTCCTGTCGTTTTGATGGTAGTGTTGTCGGCTACTCATGTCGCTCTCAAATTTGGTATGCTGAGAGTTTGACCGGAGACAGCTGTTCACTCGAACTCAGGAACTGCGGCACTGATGGGCTACAACATGAACATGGCGTGCTTCCAAGGGGAGTGGCGTACGAAAACCCTCGTCAGCCCCGTGTTACCGTGGCTCGTGCGTGTATGATTACCTGGAGTCTCCTTCTGACCCTTAAAAAATGGTTGGCCATTGCCCAAAATAATGGGGTCATTGACCCAGTTTTAAAGGGTCATGGAGACTCCAGGTATGTCTTTTCGGATCGGGCGCCCGTTTCGGTGGGGAAACGCCCATGTGGAGACACCCTGGGCTTGCCGGATGCTCCGAGGCTGGAGCCGGGGAAATTGAGAAAGGAGCCGGGCACTCGGCTGAAGGGCAAAGCATGGGACATGCTTGGTGTCCAACCCAAAACCGTCTTGTATGTTTTTTTTGCTCTCTACTTTACTTCTTTGTTTTTTTGTCTAATACAGATCAAACTCCACTTTGCCTTTGAGTTTATGGGCCCAAAACACAGGTTAGTTGACCAAAAGAGCGTCCCCCTTCATTGTGATCGGCATGCAGTTGACCCAGGCTCGGTGCTTGGAAGGCATGCCATCAACCCGTGAAAAGGATGAACATTTGGCCATGGTTCCTCTAAACCGTCTAAAGGGGACTGTGCATGGCCAAACTCCCGCACTTGGGATGAAGGAAAGGTACTGTCGACGGACAACATCCACTTTAAAGTCATGGTTGAAACCATAACGTTTGTTGGTATTTACTTTGGGGAATCGACTCATTTTTCCGGGTTTCTGAAGTGGTGCGATTTATGGATTTCGCATCCATTCAGGGCCTCCAGGCAAGTGCCCGCCGTAAGGCCTCTGGCTGGTTTGTTTTGACCGTTCCCGAGGTATGGAAGGAAGTGAATGCAATGGCGGAGAAGACCGGGCCGGGAGCTCGGTGAAGTTTTCGGGTCTGACGGTTTTTTTGGAGGTTGCCCTGTTGAGATTGCGAAAAAGGGGAGCCAAAAGGAGAATGAACCGCTTTTGTTTTTTCTAATATTATATATATATATATCCATAATACATATATATATATATATTTGGGGGGGTGCCCTAGCTCAAAATCTCTGGTTCATGTCTCAAGTTGGATGTCGACCACTCCAAACAGAGCCCAGTGGATTTTTCATTTGGGCTGCCCATGACAGCAGCCAATGAACAAACTCCGCATTTGTTCAGCTTGGTCTGGCGAGTCTGGGGGAGTGGGTCAGACGGGTTGTTGGGGTGCGGCCCTGGAAGCCTCTCCCTCCAGCTGAAGTTTTGAGGGAGGTCGCGGAAAAGCGAAGTTGGCCTCGTGTGTGCCTGTACCCCATACAAAAAACATCCCCAGACCCCAGCTTCGAGATGTGGCTTCGAGTGAGGGTTTTTCGGGGGGAATTTTCATCTTGCGATCCAATGATCAATCTTTGGGCGTCCGGAGCCCAAGCCCAGACTCATTGAGCCTTGAGAGAGCTCTCAGGGCGAAGGTGCAAGTGCTGCCCACAGCAAAGGAGGCACGCCGCGCATGCCGCGCGCGCCGAGACCCACCGGTTTTTGCCGGGGGCTAGACATTTCGATGGGGGAACCTGAGAATGACCCAAAAAAGACCGGAGCTCTTTTGTCGCCTTTGTGAACACTTCTGAACCTTGCGCCGGTTTTTTTGGTGATGTCCAAACATTGCATGGATGGCGAGGCCATCACTGGCGTGGATGCGGTCTACTGCGACAGCTGGATGAGCCGTGGCCCGAGCGAAGCTGGATATTTTTTTCATGATGCGACCCTGGAGGGCAGAAAACATCCCGTGTCTAGGTCCCCCAGTAGTGCCCTTTCTCTCCCCTTTTTTGGGGGAGGGTTCCCCTACAAAAATAGACTACAGAAAAAAGGGTATGGAGGACCTAGGTGTCAATAGGAGGTGTGCCCGAAAGTGATGAATCAATGAATGTTTCGGCTGTTGAGGGTAGTTCTCCCCAATCAGAATCAACCAGGGGTCATTCGATTCCTGAAATTTCCATTACTCTCTTACCTTTTGCACATGAAACCGTTCGACGTTCTGTTGGGTCGGGGGGTGCTGGTTTGGACCATTTTCCTTTGAAAGGGACCATTTCCCGAACGTCAGGTTCCATTTAAAAAATGGTGGGAGGGTGTACCGAAACACACCACCCCCCCCAACCCTCTAGTCTGGGTCCATTTTGGTCTTCAAGAAGAACGCATCCCCCCCCCCAAGGTGTGCGTGCCGGGGAATTTGCCCAGGCTATGGCATTCCAAAGGACGAGGAGGAGGCCAGAAAAAAGCTCTTCATGCCTTTCCAGGCGCTTTCCTCGCAAAAATAGTCATGAAAAAGCACGAAGATCGCCTGTGTCGCGGAGTTTAGGTCACCACGGATCTCATGAAGTTTGCCAAGCCCGATGCAATCTTCATGAATTGCTCGAGTCTCAGAGTCGGGAATGCCAGTTGCAGAATAATATGTGGGTGTGCCTTTTCTTAGGGTACCCCCCCCCCCCCCCAAAAAGAATTCTGGTTTGCCTTCTGGTTTCCCTTGAACACCGCACAAAATGGGTACCCTGAAAAAGACACACCCATGTACTCCTATGCATTGTATAATGACCCCACGTCGATTCCACCCCCAAAGCACATGCAGAGTGAGCTAAAAGACCACGGGGCAGGCTTGCCTGCGGCCCGCGGCATGGAGCAGACGGCAGAAGTCATTGACGGACCACAGTGGCTTCCTGAGAAACTGAGCGGAGTTGTTTGATCGAAGCAAGTGACATCTAAGTTAGAGGGTTTAGACAACCATTGCAAGGGTTCCTGCGGACCATGACCCATATAAGGGGTCTTGACCATGGCACGCTTTTCAACGGCCTGGACTGTCCCTGGTGTTTTGGGATGGTTTTGAGAGACTGCAAGGCTGACTTGTGAGTCAGCGTCTGCATGAGGTCTGTCGTATTTGACCAAGCTGAAAACCGCCTCCATGCGCAGAAGGCTCGTTTGAGCTTCCGCAGGAATCGGGGGACGCCGGGCGACGCCAGATGCGTTGCTTGATGGTTCCCAGCCATGGGAAATGGAGAGCGGACGTTTGGGCTGAATTAAAAGAGGGGCTTAAGGCTTATGAGATAGCCCACGCAAAGTTTGGCTTTTGGCAAGGGACCAATGAACCAAGTTGGTCAAAGAGGTTCTTCGAGGACTGGTGTATCCTCGTAAACAGATCTTGTTAAAAACCGCTACTGTTTATCCTTGTTGTTCTCCCACCAAAGTGGACGAGCGGCTGGTTGTTGAAACAAACTAATTTACCCTACCATGGAATGCTTTGCGTCTAGGCCTTGCTTGTCTTCCTCATTGCCCCTCAGCGCTTCTCCGAGATTGTGGGCGTTGGGGCACAGCCCGGCAGGCCGATCGCGCGATCTCTCGTCTTTTTTTTTTTTTGCCTGGGGGTCAGTCCAAATGTCGTCTATGGTCCGTTTAAGAGGGATCGTTGACTCTCAAATTCCAAAAAGCAATACCAGGAAATGCCCTAGCCTTCCCCATCACGGGTCTAGCATATTTCGAGCGCTGTGACGTCACTGACAAACGGATGGGTAGTTCACAGGGACAGGACCCAACAAGTTCAGAAGGCAGGTCGCAAAGTACCCAAAGGCTGGGGGCTGCGATGCACACGAAGGCCACTTGGGAGTTTTCAGGGATGGATGTTGGAGCTATGGTGGATGGTCGAAGTCCGTTCGCACCACTTTGAAACGATGGGAAACCATTGCTTGTTGGTATTTACAGGGGAATCATCATTCTAGGGTTTCTTAAGCGGTGCAGGATTTCGTCCATCCACAGTAGGGCCACTTTTGTTTAGAAGCGGTCAATACTGCCTGACGTGCTGAGGTTGGCGTAGCATCCATGGTCCCAAAAGCCATACCTGGAAAAACATCGATGGCCGGCAGATGGTCAGGCCAAAAGCGGTGGACTGAGAGGCTCTCTCGAAATATGGCGAGCCGAGACCACGAGTCAAAAAAAATAAAAAATGGATTGGCTCGTCAAAAAAATGGATTGGGGCCACCCAACATGGATTTCCAGTTTCGCTTTTTGGTTTCGTGACGCCAAGGTGAAAAGGGTACCCTCCACAGACACACACACACACACTGATGGAGCTACGGTGTGGAAAGTATCGGAGATCGAGTATTGGATATTCACTTCGATCAACAGTCGCTTGACTGGAATTCGTGCCTTTTGGGGCGCGCCTGGAGGGCGCATGCCTTTCACCGCGGGTTTGCATCTTCCCGCCGGGACTCAGACTTGGGGCAGCCACACAATGGCCGGCTTTCCTTTCCAACTTTCCCTAAAAGGGATCTACCAGTCAACGCCCAACGCCTGTGCTGGGAAGCGTTCGTTTGCCTGGGAAGCGCAAGCCCGCAGAAGATCTGTCAGCATTCGATTTACCGTGAGTCTCTTGAGATCTCTTGACATCGACGCAACCGAGATCCCGTGGACCGTCCATGAGCCGCAAAAAGTCGTGCGAAAGCAGCAGCGGCACAGAGGTAGCCCCAAAAACCCGTGTTGGCCAATTTTGCTCGGGGGCTCTACTCCCTGGTCTCATGTGGAGAACAAGCCCCCCTCTGAAGCCTTAGACAAGTGTAGGTGATGCCAATTGGGTGTTTTTCGTCTCCACTGCCGTCGTGTTGGGTAAGATGAGCATGACAGCCTTGGCCAGGATCTCTACGTCATATCTGAGTCTGCCTATGGCCTGCGAGGCCAGACGAGTCTTTGTGGCGAATGAACTGTTGCGCGCGAGAAGACGTCCATTTGGTCAAGAATATTTTAGCTTTCCCCTGTTGGTTTTGAAGGGAATCTATCACTACTGGACATATTTTTATTTCTTTCCCGGGGACTTCCCAAAGGTCAGGAACCCCATCCGCATCCACCTTCGATTTGGGTGTCCAATTCAAGTCATCAGCTGTGGGAGGGGACGGGGAGTTGACTTATCGTGGCAGAAGAGGTCCAAACCTCAGGTTTTTGAAGACACCCCCCGGCCTTTGCCTGGAATGAAACTGGGAAGTCAACCCCTCCGCCCGGGATGTCGTTTTGGATTGTCGACACAAGCAAACTAACGTGCCAAAAAGGACACCTACGCGCCTTTTGAATGGTTACAGTTCCAGAAAGACGCCAACATGAAACAAGCATTCAAAGGGCTCTCAAGTTTGCCTTCACGAATCTGAGCTGTTGGTGTCAAGGGATCCCTAAACTTATATTAATTGATTTTCCCTTTAAACCAATCGACCAACCACCCCTACATGCGTCCGATTTTTTGGGGAACCTCCTTCCGCTCGGCGGTTCAGCGGCACCCCACAAATGGGACCGATGTGGGGTCCCCCGGCTTTTCCTCTTCGCGACTCCGCGACCGCGGAACCGGCAGAACCGCCAGGGGACGTGAAGCCGCTGCACTTCACGAGGCAAAGGCAGCGCTTCAAGGACTTCCTGCCGCAGGTGGAGCATGCCGTGCAGCCCAGCGCTTCGCTTCTTGCGGCCGGTTTTGGCACTGCAGCCTCCTGGTCCCTCCACCGATTTTTTACCTCACGCTTTCGGGAAATGGTGCCTTTACAAGGAAGATGGTCCAAACCAGGACTCCCAAAAAGAACCTCGAATGACATCCGGGGATGCATGAAGGTTTCTTGGACGTTTGGACTGAGGGATTGTCATGTGGAGATCACTACGACTTGTCCACACAACCGAAGCTACCGAGACAGGGTATTTAAGCACAAAGCAGCCACTGGGACGCAATTGTACTATCAAGCAAAAGATGAAGGGCTGCGTAGGAACAGGGGTTTTCTTCCTACATCCCTTTCGGGGTGGTTTGAATATCACCATCTGAAGTTGAACCAATCTTGGTTGAGTTGCTGTTTATTTGAGTGATATTCAAAGGGGACACACGGGAGTGTGTTTTGTTGAGGGCACCCTATTTAGGGAGTCGTTTAAAGGGGGGCAGGGGCTCCTGTTTGGTGTTTGGATGTATCCTGTAAGGAACCCTGAAACGGCACAGAAAGGTTTGCCATCATTTTTGTAGGCAAAGCAGCCAGCCAAAAGCAAACTAGGAAGCCAAGTTGGAACTTTCGAAACCCGGCCGGGTCAAGTCCTTCTATTCGGACTAGTCGGGGTTCCGTGTTCCTTTGGATTCCCTTTCAAGCCTTTTGCAAGGGGGTGTCCCAGTCCCAAAGAGAGGCACCCAAAATGGGCGTGCGTTTGGTGTCATCGACGTTAGGTGTGGTTTCTCTACCCACAAAAGCCAGGGCATGATAATCCAATCCACTCCCATCCCGGAAATGGTTCAAGTCCAATCCAAACCAGTCCAAACCACGGCGGCCGTCTTGGGCAACGGGGCAAACTGAGATCTTGCTGGACAATTGCTCCAAGTACTCCCGAGAGATCGAGAAGCTGCGCCAAGAGCGACGGGCCTGGATGGCTTTTTGGAAGGATGCAACGGAGTCGTGTGTCTTTTTTCGCGGGTTCTGCTTTTTCGAGTTTGAAGGGACACCAAAGCAAACGAACCATTTGGGGAGGCCGTCATTTTTGGTTTAGCACGTATGGAGGTCAAGCAATATGTAACAAAGGGTGGCTTCCTGTTTGTATGGTGTTTTGGGGCGGCCTAGGAGCCAACAACAAATGCAGGAAGCTAGTCGGGAGTGCCTTTTTTTTGTTTTGGTGGGTCGGTTTGGACATGATTTCGCTTTGTAAGGATTGTAAGGCTCACTAAATGCGGGCGAGACCCAAACATACGCTTGGGGGGGGGGGGGAAGCTGAGGCAGTAGTTCTCGGCCTGCCTTTTGGGGAACTGCCACCTTTTTTTCGGGGGAGATGGCCGGATTGGAAGCGGCCGAGGCGCCATTTCCTTGGGGAGTTATGTCTGTGATTCGCCATCTGCATTCGGAGGGCCATTTTTGAGGGAGTCCCCATTTTTGAGACAGGGGCCAGCCCCCGAACTCAGGAAGTCCACCAAGAGGAAGAAGGGTGGCGTGTGCGCCCGAGCAAGCGAGCAAGCGAGCGAAGAGGTTCAAGTGTTTTACTCTATGGCCCTGGCTGCGTGCCCCCAAAGAATACCCTTACATGGGTACTGGTATGGGTCACAACTAAACCACCAGGAGTTGGACCGCAGGCAGTGCATGTTTCCGTTTGGGCCAGCTATTTCGGGTACCACTTTTTGACCCGCCAGAAAAGCCTTCGTTTACCTGCAGGTCAGGGCCAGAGTCATTTTGATACAGAGCCTAGACACGAGCCATCGGTCAACAAGAGCTCCGTCCAACTTTCTGGGGCGGAGTGCTCGAGCGCCGAAAACACGGGTAGGTCCTCTATGAAGCTTCATAATCATTGTTGTCAAGCTTATGGTATGACAAAGTCAGGTTGAGAACCTTTCTAACCACAGTCTCTATAAGTTTATAAACCTATATGTAGTAAGTTTCTCTCAACGCCATTATAACCAGATTGGTAGACCTCCTCTTATCAAAACTCCCCATATTTCTCCTGTTCACTGGTTTTAACCATCCACCTTTTGACTGCCAATTTAAATTGTTTTTCCTTTCAGTGGGGTGAGGTAGGGAGAAATCTGGGATCCCATATGTTTTCCTTTGAGGTACCGGGGAAGACAAGAGGAAGGCCAAGTCCAGTTTTGGGGTCCCTCGATTTTGCCGAGTACGGACAAGCCGACCCCGCAATTTTCGATCGGGTGTGTATGCTGAGACCATGTTCTCCGCGGAGGGCATACAGCGACTTTGTGTGCTGAAGACTCTCATCCAGAGGCGGTCCCACGCACGAAACCACTTCGGTTTGGGGTTTGGGGGGAGTGGTTTGCCCAACTCCATTTTCCCCTGGGTCCGTCCCTGGTTTTGGGGAAGGGCGAATCACCCATTCTGGAGGTTCTCATAGTTGAATACAAGACCACTTAGAAGGTATGTAGGAAGAGATGGGGATGTGGGTGGTATTTGTTTCTGTACCATTTGCCAGGAACGTGCTGCAGTGACTCACTGACTCACCCTAATCCCTGGACCTCAGAAGCCTGCCGGCGAGCTTGTTGTTCTGGTTACATCCACAAAATCACCCTCTAAACGGTGGCTGTGGGACACCACCCCCAAAATGTCATTTTGAACCCCAAGACGCGGATAGGTCATTTCCCCTTTGCTTTTTGAGGCGGGGGTTGGTTGAAAGAGATACCCAAAGGACTCCAGTGATGTCGGTGTTCCCTAGTCATGCCCATTGTTTGGAGCGAACCCCAAGACGCAGACATCCAGAGCAAACACCAAGGTAGATGCCCCCAAACCGAAATTGGACTATGCCTACCCAGATTCAAGTCAAACAAATGCGACCTGCGCGTTTCTGCCCGTGGCTTTTGCGATTTTTCTGCAAAGGAATCCTTGCAAAGCTCAGGAGAGGCATCAGGCGCAGCAAAAAGGTTCACAGAACCCCCCCAGAAGCTTCCTACCGAACCTTTCCGTTTGAGTGGTGGGCTTGGATCCTAGCATGTGGGAGGTTTCATAAGTCGTTCCCGATTCCTTTGCAACCATGTTGGTAGAACCGACAGTATAGTGAGGGTGCTGCTTGAGCGCCGCAGGCGGCCGACGGTGCCGGATGACGCTCTGGTGATCTTCTCTGACTTGGATGAGGCGTAGCGGCGTAGCACGCGCAAACCTGCACATAGTTGTGGACATTGGGGGTTGTATCACGAAAATCATTCGCTTTCCTCAACGCTGCTGATGCATGGAAGGACTCTTCCCAAAAGCACTCCGGCAGAGCATGAAGCCTGAACAAAATCCTCATTCTCGGCTCCTTCCGGGGTCCAAGGGCATTTTGGTTTTGGGGCGAGCCCAGTTCCATGTTATTTGGCGGAGCAACTCGAACTTTAACCGGGCGTCTGAGCAACTCGATCTTTTCTCGTACATCCCATGTTGGCGTTTTTCTCAAAATTGGGGACCAATTCCTCCATGGTTTCCCTTTGGTTTCCTTTCAGAACCATCCATTTTTGGCCCCCCCCCCTGTTTCTCCCCCAGAAATAGCTTCCCCCCCCTTGGTTGCTTTGGCTTCTTTGGGCTCACCCCTTTTCCACTACCCAGGCAAGAGCCAGGTGGTCTCGGGCCCAAAGGCCCCAGGTCTCCGCGGCCAGGTGCCTTCCGCGAAGGCCATCCAGATGCTGCGGGTGTGCCAGCCTCGCGCTGCGGCCAAGGCGCTTCCGGGCGAACGAGAGGGCGAGGGAAGCCCGGGGGCTTCCGGGCGTCGTTTGCCCGCTGGCGGTCTGGCACCAAGGGGTACCAACGAACCTTGAACCCATACGAATTTCAACCGACCTGTTTATAAGGGGGGGGGGGGGGGGGGAACGCTTTTCTCTGGGTGAAATGTGGTTGGAATCAGGCCACTTTTGGAGGGGCCCCTTCCCCCTATTAATAAACTGGGGTTGAAACTCATACTGTGGATGGACGAAATTCTGCACCGTTTTGAAACCATGGAAAAACCATTGTTTGTTGGTATTTACAGGGGAATCATCATTCCAGGGTTTCTTAGGTGGTGCGAAATGGATTTCGTCCATCCACAGTGTGGGGTCAACATTGGTGGGTAACCCTTCGGTGTGGCTAGGTTTTACCTAATGACCGCTTTGCTTGGCGAAACGCCTGGCACTGGGAACGGCTTGCTTGGAGTGGCATCGGGGGCGCCCTTCCCACCGTGGAAGTGCCGGCGCTTTGCTTCCATTTGGTTAAGTTTTTTTTGTTTATATATAGATAATATATATATATATATTTCCCTGTTGGTGTTTAAAGGGAATCTATCACTACTGGACATATCTTTATTTTTTCCAGGGGACTTGAGCAAATGGCGGCTTGGTCTGATTGGAAGGAGGGTGTTTCCGCCAAGAAGTTGGTTCGCTCCAGGTTTCGCTGTGCACTTTAGTGGTTGGAACTTTCTGAAAAGTGGCTGGTGGACATACTGTGGATGGATACAATCCTGCACCGTTTTGAAACCATGGAAAAACCATTGTTTGTTGGTATTTACAGGGGAATGATCATTCCAGGGTTTCTTTGGTGGTGCGAAATGGATTTCGTCCATCCACAGTAGTTCCCGCCGAAATGATGTGTACCCAAGGGTCCCTAAATAGAATTAGTCTCCGGATTCTGTTTCGCCTTTCGAGGGGATTTCGGCTGGTGGTCTGGCAGTTTACCCCCATCTTGGAGTTGTGGAACCCGGTTTTTTCAGCAAGACACCAGGAGGAGAGCACGTCATTTTGAGCATGGCTCACATGGAACCTGAAGACCCGTGGTCTTTAAGGGGAGCACACATTTTTATGTGGTGCTATGGTTACTTGATGGTTCTGGTCATCAAAGACTTGGGCAGACAATTTTCAAGCAGCAACTTGTCATTCCTTGCTGTGCGTTTCCCACCGTTTAGTCACTAACAGGTCCATTCTAGGACGCAAGGGCTCGCGCCACTTGCCTCGGACACATGTTCTGAGACAGATTCTTGTGGATGGAGGGCGGCGTGTTTGGATTTTTTCACCACGTGCCATGGTCAAACTTCTGGATTTTTTGACCACGCTGGTGATGCCTCGGCTCCGCAGGAGGGGCCTTGGATTCAGATGCACTATCCCATGCCCTACAACCTGCGGGCCGGCACCCGAAGCAGATTTGACGCGGAAGTCGGATGGTGATTTGTTCCCTCGGAAAGTACGCAGGAGGACTTTTTGTTCAGCATGGGGCTTGTGCCGTCCACCTTCACCCAACTGGGTGTCTTTTTGAGGGCACCCCTTTCTGGTAGGCTTTGAAAGGAAGCCAAGAGGAGAAACCCCACCAGTTTGGGACGTCCACCAGAAAAGACACTCAGCTGTACCTGGAAACCTGATCGCGCGAGTCGCGCCCGACGGTAAGGTCGGGTGCAAGCGCAAGACGAAGTCGCAGTCCGAGACCCGGAGAGAAGCGACTGGGGGCGATGGACGAAATGTTTGCGGGGAGTGGCGGCGGCGTTTTCTTTTTTTGAAGTCTCCCCGAATTGGGTGTGTCTTGGGATACTGTACGAGGACCCCCCCCCCTTCTGGGGGTTTCCCTACTTTGAGATTTGAGACCCATGGCGAACGCATGACCATGACCATTTCGTAGAGCTTCGCACGCTCGCGGAGGATGCATTTTCAGGGCGCAGGGCCCTCAGAAGGACTTGCTGAGCTCCAGGTCTTTGGTTGAATGCAGGGTTTAGTCAAGCCGGTATTAGGGGCATGGGTCAAAATTAAACCACCAGGGGGAAAAACAAAAAACATGTTTCCATTTACCAGCGTTCTGTTCTGGGTACCCATTTTTGACCCACACCCGTATGGACTTCTCAGTGCAGGGGTAGTCCATTTTGAGACCACTTGATTGGAAGCAATGAATTTGGACCTTGTGCAGGTTTCCTCTCATGCCAAACTGGTCAAGGAACTTAAAGGATCCTGATGGAATGGATGGAGGGCTCCCGCTTTTGCAGGAACCTCGTCATCCGTTTGCTAGTATTTGCTTGACTTCCATCTCATACAACTGTGATGCCTTTAGAACTAAGCCTTTTGTACCCCCTTGAGAAGGGGGCGAATCAAGGTGGACCCCACTTGGTGGTTCCCAGGTATCCGGTTCCTTAGCTTTAGATCCTTTTGTATGGTGGTAGTTTCCATTTAACCCACTAAAAGTTAAACCTTTTAACGGTATTTGGGTTTCGTGAAAGGCCGTCCGGCTTGAAAGCGCCGGCGAGAAAGTCGCATAGGTCTTCGCCACCATGGGCTTCCTGCGGCGGAAGAAGTCGCTGGCCCTGAGGTGAGGGGCCTATGGGTTGAGTTAAAGTCGAAACACTGGCCACCATCAAAAACCCGCCGGCGGGGGCAGGGGGGAGGGGGGGCAAAAGGAGTTGATGTTGAAACAGTGATTCAGACTCTGGTTCAAAGACGTGGTTGAATCGCACCCTACCCTACCCCCCTTTGACGATCCTGGCCGGTACCGCAGGATCCCAAGGCCAGGTCCGCGGCCTGATTTTTGAGGAGGGCCGTGCTCATGGACACCATCTTTTGTTTGGAAGTGGTTCACAGGGGATTCCTGCAAATTAAGTGTATCCTACGAATTTGTCCAAGGTTGGAGAGAAAAAAGCCGGGCAAATTGCAAGTATGTGAGTGGCCATGGATCTGGAGCCAGGAAGTTTTCTCACCATACTTTGCTGTGAGCACGGAGGTACAACATCAGAAAGAACCTCATTGTGCCGGGGCCGAAGATTCTGCTGAAGGCACATATGAGCAACTGACAGAACTACTAGGTAGCCTACTGCTAGTTTTTGGAGAACCCAAATATCAAGGCCTCAACTATGATTTGCCCTGGCCTGAGGCCCAACGCCGGCATTCATCTTACCTATGTAGGCGCCGGCGCCGGTCGACACTACTTTTGCTCTTGGCTTGCGCAACTTGAAGGTGTGCAGGCCGGGCTTGAGCGAAGATTTGTAAGCAGCCTGAATGAACCAGTCAAAGATACGCGTGAGCTTTTGAGTTGCGAGTTCTGACTTTGCGTTCCAGTCATGAAAATTCGGACGCAGCAAGCTTTCATCACCTTTCATCTCAAACTTTCCCAATCAAACCGTTGTTCCCTGATGTTGCGAATCGGTGACAGGGCCGTTCTCGTCAGGGGCTGTTTTTTGAGGACTGGTGCAAGGAAACTGACAAGGAATGGCTTTGTTTTCGATGGTGGCCTCAAAGAACCCGGCTTGTGACAATGGGTAAAGCTCATAGGTGTCCTTTTTGGTTGTTTTGGTAGAAAAACAAATGGCCCTGGTTTACCTGGTGGTTTCATCATCTACCAGGGAAACCCATCTATTTGCCCTAAAAGCACACCTATGGTAACGCCCTTGCCTTGTGCACCAGTCAACTCGACCCTTTCTGCTGGGACAGCGCTTCGAAGCACTTGCCAGGCTCCAGGGCGGATGTGGACTACAAGCTGTTGCACCACGGTGCGCGTCTGAGCGCTTGGGGAAAGTTCCGGCACATCAGCCCCAAAACCAAGGGTGCCTGTATTTCCCTTTTTGAATGTGTGTGTGTGTGTGTCTGTGTCTGTCTGTGTCTGTGTCTGTGTCTGTGTCTGTGTCTGTGTCTGTGTCTGTGTCTGTGTCTGTGTCTGTGTCTGTGTCTGTGTCTGTGTCTGTGTCTGTGTCTGTGTCTGTGTCTGTGTCTGTGTCTGTGTCTGTGTCTGTGTCTGTGTCTGTGTCTGTGTCTGTCTGTGTGTGTGTTTGTTCTCACCCTTTTTGGGTGGTTTTAAAGGGACAACAACCCGAAAGCACACAACTGGGGGTCCTGCGGTTTTTGGTATATTCCCAAATCTACGCCCTAACCACACCGGTTCCTTCAGGGGTTGGGCCAAAGTAAGTTTTCATTGGGTGTGTTTGGGGAAACAAGGGGAGCCCTGTCCCCAGTTTCCTTTTTTCGGCCATAAACCTTTGGAAGGCTTGGGACCTCTCCAGAGCTTCCCTTACAATTCTAGGGGTTGATTCCCCATTCTTTTCAACCATCCTTCTTTTAAAAACCGGCTGTTTCCCCTGGGTTTCCTGAAAAGAAGGATCCCTGGAATGAATGGGGAAGGTACCCCTAGAACAATCCTGAAAGCTTGTGGTTTTGCGAAGTGTAGAACCGTCCTTGGACCCTTGATGCCCACGAAGTGTGGAGCCCCCTGAGTCCTTTCAGCACATTCTGACTCGATGGGGACTTTGCGGCTTGCCTTTGAACACAACCAAAGGAGGGTGTCGCTCGTTTTGACATATGTTTACATATTCCCATTTGCTGGTGCAGTTTTGCAGCGGGAGCAAATGTGAAATGTGAGGTGAAAGCGGACAGGCTGGGAACGTTGTGGCCAGACGGAGGTGTTTACTGGACTGAGAAAATTGAGATTCGCACGCGTGCTCTGCCCAACAAAGAGGAGGATCCAACAGAAGGAACATGATCCAAACTGCCCTCAAATCGAGTCCTGTGTGTGCGAGTGTGCGCGCGCGCGCACGAATGTGCGTGGGCACGAGAGAGAGAGACAGAGAGAGAGAGAGAGAGAGACAGAGAGAGTGTGTGTGTGTGTGTGTGAGTCTGTGTGTGTGTGTGAGTGTGTGTGTGTGTGTGTGTGTGTGTGTGAGAGTGTCTGTGTGTGTGCGTGAGTGTGTGTGTGTGTGTGAGTGTGTGTGTGTGTCTCTGTCTCCGTCTGTGTCTCTGTTTGTGTCACCTTTAGGTTTTGATTCTCGCTCTTTGGCGGTTGCCAGTCATAGGATTCCCTCTTTTGGACTTCAGACGTTTGATGGGTTTAGCAGGGCTCCTTAAAAGATACATTTTGCCACCATTTGAAGCATGTTCCTTTTTCAACACCAAGATAAAGTTGGAAACCACCATTTAGAAGCTGCAATGTTCAGGTGCAAAATGCATCCGGATCCCTGTTCAGTTGACCTTTCACGGGCGGCGTCGGATCGCTCTTCAGCTCGGATTCCCCAGGGTCTCCGCCCGAAACGCCACCGCCACCGAAACGCCAGCGCCAGATCTTGGCGACCAAAGCCACGGCCACCGGCAAACGCCTGAAGTTCTGCGAGGCCCGAGGCCCCGTTTTTTGGAGAGTTCGCCCAAGGAAGCCGAGCTGCAACCATGGAAATTGGGGAGAAGGGTGACACGGGCTATTTGGGCGTGGCTCAAAACAGGAGGGGCAAACCGCAGGTGTTGGCCTTTCCACTTACCAGGCTTCCATGTTGGTACCGGGTGTTTGAGCAGCCATTTGGTTTGTTGGCAAGAGGGAGGGATCTTTGGCGAACATGGGCAACCCCGGCAAGCGGTTCCTCGCGGGTTCGAGAATCCGAAAGGATGCCAGCCATTGACGAGTTGCAATCTTGAACAGTGCAACCTTGTCATGAAAGATAAGAGACCCAATATATTACATATATATATATAGACATATATATATATAACATACGTGCACAGCCCAAACGTATCAGACAAATATATGTATGTATCGTGCATGCTCCATCAACCCACGACATGGTGATTGGTAAAAACTTTGGGGAACCTGACCAGGATGCGGTGGATTTTCAATGGACTCCCAGCATTTGGAGGGGCGAAGTTGGTCAACTTTCCCTATAGCTTGCGTACCTGGCATCCTCCTGGTGGTCCGGCCATGAGGTCCATCGGGATTTCCCTTCAAACCAGACAGGTTGCGCACGAAAGCAACGCCATGCTTTTCGTTTTTCAGGCACATGAACAAGGAAAATTCCGGTACAGGTAAACAGGTGAAAAGGACATGGCGTTGCTTTTCAGGACATTTAATTTACCGGTACATGTACTTTACAGGTAAATTCTTCATTTAGAATCATGTACTGCCTGCTGCATTAATACCACGTATATATATATATATACATATATATACACTGCACACTTAACAAACTCTTTCATCGCAAGCCGCAAGCGCAACCTGGGTCTCAGATCGATGAGACGCGGTTGGCACAAATGGAGCAGCTCCTGCGAGACAACCCTGCCAGGGACTTGGAGGGAAGAGTCTTGCAGGAACGAGGGGACACTTTTATTTCAGGTTGGACATATGGGCCAAGGGTTGGTCGACATCAATGCCAAGGTAGATGATGTCCACCACCGGCTCTGCAGCCAAAGTCAAGTGTCATGTATGTACTGACAAGAAGCATAGGTGTCCTTTTTGGTGGTTTTGGTAGAAAAATCGATGGCGATTCCTGGTTTACCAGGTGGTTCAATCGTCTACCAGGGAAACCCATCTATTTGCCCCAAAAGGACATCTATGAGCGTGCGTGCTCTCGGTTGGTGGGTGTGGTGCCCTGGAAATGCAAAGGGAATGGGTGGGTCTTTTTGGGAGTTGGTACCCCTTTTTGAGGGCACCCCCTGACAGGGTGCCATTCGATCTGGTTTGGTGGTTTGGGACTGGAGGTTCCATCCAGGGTACAATTTGGACCACTTTGTGAGGGTACCCCTTTTTGGGGTTGGCTGAACAGGAGTCCAAAAGATATATTTTTTTTGCACCCTCCCCCCCCCCCCCCGCCCCCAAATTTGACACATACCTAATAGTTCCGGTTGCGGATTGACAAGATTGATATAGCCCTGGGTCGACCAACTGATCAGCCAATGGCAATGGAGTCGACCAATCTATCGGACACTCGAATCCTATGAGAAATCGGGTTGATGAATAGGCCCTGCAACTCATGCCCGAAATGTGCCCAAAAGGAGATTGTTTCATTCCCAAAACACCTCAAATGATTCCCTACTGGGAATGAGCACAGTTCTTTTTCCCGCTTGGTTTCACCATGGGCTTCCCTCTAACCCCCAACAGGCTACGTTTCTCAAGACAGCCATGTTTGTGGCACTCGGCCCTTTTCGTCCCTTTTCTCCTCATTTGAAATCTGCTCTCTTCTGTTATTTGGCTGCAAAACCCTTTAAAGGGAGCCATCTCAAGCTGCAGCTTCGCCTCATTTGCCTCCTTTCAGGTGTCCCCAACATGGGCGGTGTCCCTTTGTTTTTTTCTTTTCAAACCACACACGGGTGCCAACTCAACAAATGTACACGCATTTGCGTCTATTTGCCTCTTGCTTGTTTGGCCCCCTCTATTTTGACACATACCCATGTGTGTGTGTGTGTGTGTGTGTGTGTGTGTGTGTGTGTGTGTGTGTGTGGGTGTGCGGGTGTGCGGGTGTGCGGGTGTGCGGGTGTGCGGGTGTGCGGGTGTGCGGGTGTGCGGGTGTGCGGGTGTGCGGGTGTGCGGGTGTGCGGGTGTGCGGGTGTGCGGGTGTGCGTGTGCGTGTGCGTGCGCGTGTGCGTGCGCGTGCGCGTGCGCGTGTGCGTGCGCGTGCGCGTGCGCGTGTGCGTGTGCGTGTGCGTGTGCGTGTGTCGTTTTTTAGGGGACCCTCAAAGTGGATGTCGATTTCCCTTTAAAACCACCCAAACAGTGTGAGTACCAACTCCAAAAAAAAGAAGCGCCACCCAAAACGTGGATCACAGGTTTTTCCCAGAAGAGGGAGGAGCTTCTACCGCCCGACACCGCTGGGTCTCGCAAAAAATCGCCAGCAACCCCGGCTCTTCAGCACCCCCCGAGACCCCTGGCTTTTGGTGAGTACCCCCCCCTCCCTTCCCCCTCCCCCCCCCTCCTCCCCCCCTCCCCCCCTCCTCCCTCCCCCCCTTTCTTTCCTTTGGCACCCCCCCCCTCACCCCCGATTTTCGGCGATCTCAGGTCTCGGTGGCGCGGGCCTGGGAGCGCAAGAGCTCGCTGCTGAAGAAGGCGCCCTACGGAGACCTCGGCGCCTGCCAGGTGTGGGGAGCCACGGCGGCATCGGGCGGCGCCTTCGGCGAGGGAGAATCGAAGCCCAGCGAGCGAGAGCCGCGGGCGGTTTTTTTCTTCCTCCTTTTTTTTGTTTCCCCGATTCATTGCCTGGGAGAAGAAAAACAAACGGCCGCCGGGTTTTGCGGGGTGGTTTTACAAAGTTGCAATTGGTGCGAGAGCTGCGATCGGGGCCCTGAGAAATGGAGACCCGAGAAAAACCAGCTGCTGGTGGTTTCCTTTCAGGGAATTTCCAGGTCCTCTACCTCATTCCCTACTGAGCACCAGCAAGTAAAGGAACACCAGCAGGAAAACCGAAAGCTCGGTTTTTCCTGCGGCTTTGGCATAGGGAGAGCGCACGCCAGAAGGCGGTGGCTCAAACTTGAGGGTACCTACCCGTTGTCAAGGGGGGCCCAAAAAAAGGAGACCATCCTGGACATGAATTTCCACCGCACCAAAGGGTCCAGGCCCAATAAAATTCACACCCCCCTCTTGGGGGTTTCTACCCAAAGCAAAAGAGCTTCCTTCAATCTGAGGGTACAAACCTATTAGGTACATGAAGGGCATTCATACAGTACATGGTGCTTCTCTACACGGGATTCGGAAAAGCCCCCTTTTTGCTTGGTATTTAAAGGGAACCCCAAAGGAGACTGTTGTCATTTTAGGAAATGGACCGATTCCAATTCTGAGAAATACCGTGCTCAAAAAGCACATCTGCTGTATATGCACGTTTCATCGTTTCCTCAACAGCCCCTCGGTTTTTGCGGGAATCATCCTCCACAAAACGAACAATGGACTGCAAATTCTGTCACCTGCTCACATGAGGCATTTGGGCTTCTGTGGTGCTGAAGAGACTCTCCTGGGGAGCCTCACATGTCCTCAATAGAGACTGTCACTCCATAAGGGAGCTTCATCAACATGACAATCCAACGGCGACGATTCCCATGATCGGACGGCAAGGTGCCGTTCGGAGATGGGAATCAGACATGATATGAGTTTGGTGCATTCTGATGACTGCCCAATGACAAAACGGGTTCTCATCAGGTGATACTGTGGATGGGCAAAACATCCTGCACCACTTTGAAGCCATGAAACAACCATTGTTTATCGGTATTTGCGTTGGGGAATCGAATCCTTCCAGGGTCTGAGTGGGTGCGTTTGATGGATTTCGCGTCCAGCCACAACAGAGCCCTCATTAAAAGAAACGCTTCGAACGGTCGATTGTCTCAACTTTCGACGGTAGGGTAGTGACCTGAGGTTGGGTCCACAAGTTCCATTTGGGAAGGACACAATGCAAGCTCACGAAAGTTTCCACGAAAACGAGGGGACTCACAAATTGGAAAAAACAAAAACATGACCGTTCCCGTCAATGTCTCATGTGTTTATGCTGGAGCCTTGAGGGGTTAGTTGGTGACAGGCCCCCTACTTTTCATTTCCATACGGGTGTGAACCTATGTTTGAGCTTGGTTTAGGGAAGCCAAAAGTAAGCCGAGCTTTGTGTGGGCACAGCCACTTGTGTCTTTTTGTCCAGGCAGGATTTCCCTCAGGTTGAAAGAGCATCAAACGGAAAACACCAGACTTTAGAGCTCAGAGGATTTTACGACTTGCTTGTGTGAACAGGGATGAGGGACGGCCACAAACCATCCCCTTATAGTTTCCTTTGGACGGATCCATTTGTGCATTCCCAACACATTTGTTGTTTCGCTGCTGAGAACCAGCAAGTCAGCGCCTTTGAGCTCCATAAGGAACCATTAAGATCGCGGTCAAGACATATGGGTGTGGCTCAAAATTAAGCAGCAGGGGTTACGCAGGTTTTGGTCCATGTTTCCACTTACCCATTTTGGTACCGGTTTGTTGAGCCACAGCCATATGGTGCGTCATTTTGGAGGACCCAAACTGGATGGTTGCCTTGTGGTTTTTCCCTTTATCACCACCAGAAAGGGGTACCCACAATAGAAGACACACCCGAATGGTTGGTTTGCTCAAAGGGGACCCTGATTTGTTTGTTTGTGATTGCCTTGTGGCTTGCCTTTAAAACCCTCCAAAAGGCGGATTTTAAGAAAACAAGGCACATCACACATCCATACAGTGGATGGACAAGCTCCATCTCGCACCTGAGAAACCCTGAAATCATTCGATTTCCCCCTGCAAATACCAAGACACCTTCTGGTTTCATCCCCATAGCTGTTTACATCCGTGGCGCAAAAAATCGGGGGGTTTCGACTCACCCCCCGCCGCATCCCCACGTGAAGTTTTG